TTTCAAGCACTGGGCACAAAGCTACCTAATAATTACAAAGTTCTGTCAGCTCAGTACCTAGTTTTGAGATATAAAACGTAAAAAAATTTGAGTTTCACAAGTCAAACATTTTCGAATGTAATTATTTGAATATCTTGATTTACGACCCCGAATAATCTTACGATTTTAACAGAGCAGATGAAACATTTGGTATCTGACCTCATGGTCTTATTATAATAAGTCAAAACGGCCAAATATGTCGGATAGAACTATGTAATTCTGAGGTAGCCATTTCTCAAGCAGCGGGCAGATTAATTCCCAACAGTAAAACAGTTGGTGGGGAATCGAGTTGAGCCGCAAGATCAAGAATGCCCAAAGAACTCTCCCCTCGCTTCTAGTATTCTGTCAACTCAACTATAGCATGCTTCGATATGTTGTATTTAGAGTTGAGAGAAGGGAAAACAAAATTAATGTGCTAGATTGGCTCAGTTTTGAGTTTGTGTAAAGAGACACACATCGAGAAAATGGAGGCCATTTAAAGTGTGGGAAAAGGCAACACCGATAAAAAGAAAAGAAAAAAACGAAGAAAAAGAAAAGAAATAGGACCTACCACTGGAACCCTTCAACCACCAGCACTTCCGCTCATGATAGGTTGAATAATGATTAAATATCAACAACCTTGATCGTGTGACTGACGGATTAACTCGGCGAAAGACAGATTTAGTGAGAGGTTCTTAACTGGGCTGGGTAAGGAGAATCACATCGACATAATAATGGCCATTTATTGCTGAGAAAATGTAAGACAGATAGACAAGAATAATTCAACAGAAGGAAAGAGAAGAAGTAGCAATCTACCAGTGGCGCCCTCAAATCACTGACGAACGATCCCTGTGACTTACTGTACTTACTGACAAAGAGACTGACTATTGACTGAACGAACGAAAATAGGGTGAACTCGCCACACCTGTGTAACGTTACATATTCCCGAAATAGTCTAGCTAGACAATAAAAGAATTGCAGTCTCAGTCCAAAGCCTCTAGAGTACTGAAGAAAGACCTTCCGTTACTGTGCCACAGTTCAACACCCTTACTGATCTCAATCGCAAAGGGCGAGTTGTAAAATAGCCATCAAAAGTCATGCTTTGACAGGCTACAGGTAGTGCAATAGCCAGCAGTTGCTGTCAAAATACGCCCATGCCGGGACGAATCGGCTCACCTTTCGACCTTTGACGTATGTGCAGTCTGGTCAAGTCTTTTGCAATGACTATCCCGTTTTTTACAGAACATACCCATCCACACAACCTAAAATAACAAAATGCCACCCCCATCAAAGACAAATCTCTACCTCAGAATTGCAAAGTTCTATCTGACATTTTTAGCCGTTTTCAGTTACTAAGACCATGAAGTCAGAAACCCAATGTTCTGTCTACTCTTTCAAAATGGAAAAATTATTTGGAGCCGTTATCAAGATATTCAAATAATTCCATTCGAAAAATCTTTACATATTATTGTGAAACACAAAAATGTTTACCCAAAATTTCTCAAAACTACATCTAGGTACCGAGCACGAGCAGATAGAAATTTGTAATTCGAGGAACCGAAATAGATAGTCAGGTAGAAAAATAAAGTATAAAAAGAAATACAGCCGTACAAACAGTGCTCTTAACTCTTGACTATGACATTTATAATAATTTCAGCTGCAGTTTGCTCTGAGTGCAATTAGAAAACAGTGAGATTCCACCCCCCCCTTCCCAAACACACACACGCACCCTAGACAGACAGTAAAAGACAGACGGAGAAAACTAAACAATCGTTCATACTCAAATACAGAACCGCATCCCTTGAAACTATCTGAGCACACACACACACACACACACACACACACACACACACACACACACACACACACACACACACACACACACACACACACACACACACACACACACACAACAACAACCCCCGCCCCCTAGAAAAAACCCACAAAACCCCCCAACAACAACACAATTAAGAAAAGGTGACAGTCAAGGTTGTGGAGAGGACCAAAGACTCTACCCGCCTAGATTAGAACATTATTTTGAGTTGTTCAGTCGTAGCCTGTTATGTGGGGAAATCACGAACCGCTCTCCCTAACCTTCCTTCCGCGTGACAGCCAACATGTTTTTCAATGAGCAAGTGAGATAAATATTCAAATGTAGGCGTTGATAAAATAAACGTGTTGTTGATAAGGGTGTGCGAGATGCTATCTCACCCAATGGTCTCTGATCTCACCAGGGAGAAATTAGCCAACAGTCACAGGAAATATGACATTCGTACACTCTGTTACCCCTGAACGCTAAAGAAATCATGGAATAACTTAAAAACCCAATCCGTACGCATTGGGGCAGTTTGTTGTATTCTTCACATCTTAGAATACGTCTTGTACGAAGATCTCTTTGAAACTTTCAGTATTTCTTTAAAAAATCAGTTAGACAGACTGCTATGCAAAGCGTACGGGTCGGATTAACGAGTAAATTTCCTCTTTGGAAAGTGGTGGCACAGAGTTCCCCACGTCGTACGGATACAATAGTAAAACACGACGTACGGATAGGGTTAAAGACAATAAATCAAGCCAAATGCTGAAGGTGAGAGAACTTGGGGATCTCAAAAGTTAGGGAAAATTAACTGAAACTACTTTCTATGACCAATTTTTAAAGGTATCTACTGCCCTTGCGGGGTATCATTGCGTCCATAAATTTTGACCTAACCGACTTCAGGTCGCCTATCTTTGTCATCACAGTTAATTTTACTCTCGTCAACTTTCGTCCCTAAATCTCAACATTTTAGTGGTTATGCCCTGCTGAAAATGGAAGTTGGTTTGTGAGGCAGAGGCTAAAGTCAAAACACCTTTTTTGCTAATATGTATCAAGTTAACAAGTTTGAATATCTCCGTAAGGCCTTAAGTAACAAATGTGAATTGATTGATCTCGGTTATGCGCGTGAGGTAACAAGGCAGAATTTTTCGGCCGTCTGGTTTGTTGTTATTGTTGTTGTTGTTGTTGTTGTTGTTGTTGTTGTTGTTGTTGTTGTTGTTGTT